TCAGAAACAGGACCAGGACTTAGAAAAAGTACTGACTTTTCTAGAAAAGGGTCATAAACCTAAGTGGTCAGAAATTTCAATGTGCAGTGAGGCTATTAAGCTGTATTGCGCATTTTGGGATCAGTTAACCATTAACAATGGTGTACTTTGAAGAAAATTTGAGACAAAGCAGAAGGAAATAAAGCTTCAAGCTCTAATTCCTAAAAATAAACAAAAAGTTAATCCTTGAGCAAGCTCATGATAGTTTGACTGGAGGTCATTTATGGGGTCAAGAAAACAGTAGAGAAGATAAGGCAGAAATATTACTGGTGTGGACTCCGTAAGGATGTAGAATTATGGATTCGGTCTTGTGATGCCTGTTGTAAGCGTAAGCCTCCTCCAAGGAAACGTCAAGGTCCGATGCAGTTGTCCGGGGCTGGAGTCCCTCTAGAGCGGGTAGATATGGATATTGTAGGCCCACTTCCAGAAACTGAAAATGGGAACATCTATATCTTAGTTGTATCAGATTACTTCACAAAATGGGTAGAAGCATAGGCAATGCCAAACCAGGAGGCAATAACAGTGGCTGAAACCCTGATAGAAAAATTTCATCACAAGATTTGGTATACCCAGACAAATCCATACTGACCAGGGGAGACAATTCGAGTCAAAATTGTTCCAAGGCATGTGTCAACTCCTTAACATTGACAAAACCAGGACCACACCGTTTCATCCAAGGTCCGACGGAATGGTAGAACGGTTCAATAGGACGTTGGAGGCTATGTTGAGTGCTTTTGTAAGCGAAAATCAGAGAGATTGGGACTTCTATTTACCTTATCTAACTATGGCTTACCGCTCCACAATTCATGAAAGTACAAATTTCACCCCAAATCTACTGATGCTAGGGAGAGAAATCAATCTTCCAGTTGATATGTTTGTAGGACTTCCAATTCAGGATATCAGTTCACCGCATCAATGGGTAAATGATGTAAAGGAACATCTAGAGGATGTATTTATCCTGGCTAGGAAGCACCTGGAACAAAATCAATTAAGACAGAAGAAGTATTACGACAAACATACAAAATCTTCAGCATATAAAGTAGGAAGTCAAGTTTGGGTTTACTTCCCCCATAGGAAAGTAGACATATGCCCAAAACTGCAATGTTTTTGGAAAGGACCCTTTCAAATAACCGCGAAACTCAGTGAAGTCAATTATCGTGTCAATTGTGGATTGAGAGGTAAACCTCAAATAATACATGTTGACCGTATGAAGCCAGCTATTTCCCGTGAGGAAACACATAAGGTTAATACTGTACCAGCACAAAATTGCCCTGTGGAAATCAACAGCGAAGTTTTGCAGAGGACCTACCTTTAATAGAGGACCACTCTCCGGCAGAGGAGGTTTGTGGTTATGGTTCTAAGCGTATTCGTAAGCGCCCAAGATATCTTGAAGACTATATCCTATAACTAGTTACCAAGTACCAACTGAACTGATTGGGCAGGGAACCACATGTGTTAAAAATGCACCAGGACTGTTTTGGAACTATATTGCGTTCTGTTCATTTTCAGATGATCGCCCTTGGAAGGACAATTATGTGCACTAAATGCGAGAAGGTGTTCGCAACCATAAGCGGACTTGTGAATCACGTATCCGTAAGCCACGGGAATGATGTTACTTGCAATGAATGCAACTTCTCGGCCGACCGAGTTTCAGACCTGAACCTCCACAAGAGGGAGAAACATAATAACCTAACTGTCAGGAGGCCCCGGTCGACCAGATAGGTCTCATCTAGGGAGTTTGTTTCCTCCCTCGGAGAGTGAGGACGAGGAAAAGCATACCGGAGCTCCTCCTCCTCGTCATCTTCCTCTTCCTCAGGGAATTTTAAGAGGCAGAGGAGAGAAAGTGAAAAGGAGGAAGAGAATGAGACAAAGAAAGAAAAGTGGAAGGAGAGGAGAAGAAAAAAAGGAGGAACAGATGGAAGAGAAGAGAAAAGTGGAAGGGGGAGGAGAAGAAAAAGGAGGAACAGATGGAAGAGAAAAAGAAAAGTGGAAGGGGAGAAGAAAATGAGGAACAGATGGAAGAGAAAAGAGGAAGAGCAGAAGGAGAAGGAAAAGGAGAAAGAAGAGAAGGAACAATGGAAAAGGAGAAAGAAGAGAAGGAACGAATGGAAAAGGAGAAAAGGGAGAAAGAAGAGAAGGAACGTAGGGAAAGGGAAGGGAAAGAAGATGAAAGAAAGAGGAAAGAGGACAAAATAAGAAGGGAGAAAGAGGACAGAGAGAGGAGGGAGAGGGAAGAAAGGCAGGAGAAAAGACCCTAATAATCTGTTTAACTGGCCACCAGGGGTCAGAAGACATCGGCAGGAAGAACGGAAAGAAGAGATCCCTGGTGGCCATGGCGTCCGCCACATCAGTCTATCAATAGTGGAGTGGTGGACGCCAGCAGAAGAATAAATTCTTCTGCTGAACTTTGTATTGTAAATATATATAGAGAGATACAAGTATAAATAAATATAAATTGTAAAGACAGGACAGACCTATTGTACATATATATATACACATGTAAATAATTATAATTGTAAATTGTATTTAATGTTGGATCAAATTGTAAATATGACATAAGAATATCATGCATATATGTATGTATTTATTTATTTATTTATGAATTAAATGATCTAGACAGATCGTCCTGTAAGTAGGTGACCATGTGAATTTATATACTATGCGAGGGCGCATTTGTTTTTCTTAGGGGGAGTTGAAGCGCAATAGGGTATCATTATATTATTCTAAAACGTACTGGTCATTACGTCATTCTGCACGTAACTGTCGAATCGAATGTCCATCATACTTCCGGTAGAGTCCTAGGTTAGATTATGACTTTAGGAAGCGATTGTACATCCTTAAACTATTTCTCAAGTATATAGAGATAACTTTTATTACCTTACTGTCAGAATACGATATGTGCGTAAGCCCTATAGTTGTTAGAATCGTCAAACAGCATAGGGATGACAGGTTGTTTTATGGGTGCCGCCATCTTTGTTTACGAATCTCGCGTGGTCACTGCAGCGGGTGCATCTCGATTGTGACGTCATTGTAATTAAGTATAAAGGGAGACGCTACCGTAAAACTGCCTGCATTTTTCCAGGAAGCATAAGCAGCTTTTCAACTAAATACGCAGGACACCATAACAAGTAAAGAGGTGAGGATGGCAGAACAGTCACCAGGACTTAATACTTTATATAAGTAAATTGTAAATGTCAACCAGGACTTATAAGAATTAGTTTGGGAATTTCTGATTAGGATTCAGTCAGTTGGTACTATGTTAGGTAGTCACGATCGGGATGCACCGACTTTGAGTATTTTTTTCCAAGTGTCTTTTTAAGTGTATATATGTAAATATGTTATAGTATTAATAAATTATTATTGTTGTTGAAATACATCTTGTACGTTTTTATACAAAGTTTCTAGTTGTTGTTCCAAAAGTTTTGGAGTAATGGAAAGTATAAGTTTCCCGGGTTCAGAAACCAATGCTAAGTCTAGCCATTAGCAAACGTCAGCTAGCTAATTAATATGCAAGGGATATCGGGTCAGAGGTTAAAGGGCGGTCCTCCCCAGGAACTGACCAATCAGGAGCAAGTACTTTATAATGACAATATGGCTGACGTTTGCTATGAGCTGGACGCGAAGCATAGAAGTCTTAATTTCAAGCGAATTACACCGAACACAATAGTTTACATATCACAAGTTAATTATCTTAAAACGTATTCCCTACATTTATCACTATTCAGTAATATATATATTCTTGGAGGAACAAGCGAACTCGTTAGTGTAATGCAAATTAGGGGGCGGAATTTAGACATGTTTTGTAAACAAACTCGCGCTACCAGGTTATCCATGGGACTATGTAGATTCTACACTTGTACTTTCGCATGCACAAGGGCACATATTTTAGTGACTGAGCATCGAATAGCATACCCTCCCCTGTTTGGCGTTACAGTATTTAATCGGGAATAATAGGTGCTACGCATATTTAGTGACCTGCGAAATTTGTACCCCTAATCATATTACCATTGGTGGCTCATCAGCACGGCGAAACGCTTTCAAAGTCAACCTACCGCTCAAAACATCGGTAACATAACATGTTTTGCCAACAGACTTTTGGCCACTGACTAGATGCTCATGATGTTGATCACTGGAGTGTCTGATCCAGACTCGATTATATACATACCCCGCAATATAGATGGAATAATGCTGAGGGTGGCTTTAAAGCACTAATTGCCTTTTTACGGGCAACATCCATCCAAATGCTAAGTGATGAAGGGGTTGAGCTACCGTACCGGAATGAGGCCTCTGTCAGGAGTTACAGCAGAGATTGTTCCTGCAATCAGAAACCTTACTAAACGACACGGTATTCCACACCAAAATACTAACACCGTCTTGGAATCTTGGCAAATTCAAATTTCCTATACTCTCCCTTTTCTTTCAACATCGATCAAACGCAAGTAACCTTTGTCTCCCAGTCACTCGTTCAATATGAATACGATACCTAAGGTGAGTGAGTGAGTTTAGTTTTACGCCGCACTCGGCAATATTCCAGCTATATGGCGGCGGTCTGTAAATAATCGAGCCTGGACCAGACAATCCAGTGATCAACAGCATGATCATTGATTGGGGACCGATTTCATGTGTCAACCAAGTCAGGGAGCCTAACTGACCACCCGATCCCGTTGTCGCCTCTTACGACAAGCGTGGGTTACAGAAGATCAATAGACTAATCCAGACCTTCACGGGTTTATGAAGTTTATGTGACGTAACATATATTAGTTCCACCCGTTGCGTCAAATACAGTGATATAATAGGTGAAGAGATGAAGTTGTTAGATGCACTAATTCTGTGTTGTGTCTATTGGTTAATCATTCAAATAATTGCTTAATAGTATTACATGCTTAGTGTTTGTCATTTGTAAACATCCCGTGAAGTGACACCGCTGTGAATTGGCGGAAGCGGAGATATTCATGTACATGTGAAAATTGACTCGCTTCAATAATTCTTACTAAAATTTTTAAAAAATAAGTTTATCACACGTTACTTGGTAGTCATAAGGATTGTTTTACGTTTTGTGCATTTATCGAAGGATCACCGTCGAAAATTGTATACAATCGCGTAAATTTGTGACTGTGATCCTCTTTTACAGGAGAGATGCGACAAGTTAAGGTATCATCTTGCAAAAATACCTGACACGGTGACGCCACTGCCAGTTTGTGATGAGATCCACTTGCCTACGGACTTGATTAATGAAGGGTGATTTTTTAACTACGAACCTGGTGATTCTAAAGATACTGATCGTTCCCAAGACCCTGAAGAACCATATGAACATTCGCAGATTGTCAAATTCGTTCATGACAATTAAAATCAAAACACTATAAATCAATTTACAACATAAGACTTTTTTCAATCCACAGAAAGGCTTCGTAAACATGCCAAGGGGATAATCCTTTGGATATCCGTAACTTGCACCCAAAAAGAATAGGCAACAAAATGGAGAGCATTGTTCAGTATCCATCAACAAGCTGAACCTGCGTCCTGCAGGATGCTCCACTTCAGATTCACGTTTCTATATTGCCATCAGCACTAAGGAAATTCCCCTGGTTCAAACGACAACCTGTTGGTATCAATAAACTCAGCTCTATTATGAGTCGAATGTCAAAAAGTACTGGTTTCGAAAAAGATTCACAAACCATTCAGCAAGAAAATTCGATGTCCCAAAACTATCTGATGAAAATATTCATCCAACGTATATTATGGAGATATCCGGTCATCGTAACATGCAAGAGTGTAAACAGTTCATCCTCAAAACACCGTAAAATCAGTAACATTGGCAGGGGCAACGAAGAAGAGTCGGATGAAATTTTTAAGATGTGCGAATTACGCTTTGTTTTGTCCTATTTACATTAAAAAAATAAAAACTTCATAATAAATGATATTTTCCCCACTTGGGCCATACTCTACAAAGGAAATAGTACTTATAAAACCTAACATTTGTCTAAACTAAATTTTTAAAAAAAGGTAGCTAAAAGAAAAATATCGGGTGGAAAGCATGTGTTTTAGCTCAATTCTGCTTGTCCCACACTGCTTGTCACTGTCAACTTGAAAAAGACGCTGATCATTTGTTTTACCAGAGTGATGTCCCATTTTATCCAGGTCCTCAACTCCATTACATTGTAAAGGAGTTGAGTTAATTTGAAAACATGACCACCCAGATTGAAATTTATTTCGGCATTATACATATTTCCTACTAGATATTGTTTAATAATTTCTTTTGATTGCAGCATTCAGAGAGTGACATTGAAGAATTTTCGTGGACGTGTTACGAGTGTCAAAAGTCAGCATTTAACAGCGATCTGTTGGAGGAGCAGCTTATTTGTACCGACAAAACAGTTCTTACTGACAGTGATGGTTCCTTATGGCTTTTTTGTTCGGCATGTAGACGACAATATCATCTGGAATGTGCAGGCAATATTTGGGGGAAATATTGATGTGAACGATTTGGAGTTCGACCGATATTTGTGTGGCATTTGTGGATGGTCCATTTGCTTCTGAGACATGGCACTAACAGCAAAGGAGAGAATGAGGAGATATAGATAGAAACGGAGGGAAAATCCAGAGACACTTGCTCAGTATAAAGACAAAGAAAGGAAACGATGGCATGAACTGAAAGAAGCAAAGAAAGTAAAGATGATAGATGAAATGACCAACTATGAAAAGAACAATCCGAGAAAACAATGGAGAAAGGCCTATCATCGTCATCATTTCTTTCAATGAATTCACCACCAGCATCCCCAGCCTGTAATGAAAACTTACTCAGGGCAGATGGAAGAAGAACAGTTAGCCGGAAAAGGGTTAGGAGAGACAGAGCAAAGGCATACAGACAGCTGTCAAAAGTACTATTTCAGTTTCAAAACCAAAAGAAACTGACAGAGATACAGAAAGCGTCTTCAAACAATTTTGAATAAAAAGGATCTCGGAGCAAATGAAATGAATGGCACAGATGTCAGCCCAAGAAAAAAGACAGTACAGAGTCTTGTAGGAAAATCAAAGCTTTCTGATAGAGTGAAGAAAAATTTACTTTTGCATTATGGAATTGTAGCAGAACTAAAAAAGAAACTCCCTGAACCCCCCTTTCAAAATTCCTGGTACCGCCCATGATTTTTACTGTCCTTCGATGACAAGTTTTGGACGTTCTAGATTTTTATTTTAAAATTGACATAAATGAAATTGTTCTCGTCACGATATGGCTGAAATATTGCCGATGTGACGCTAAATTTTAACTCGCTCCCTCACTTTCCTTGTGTCAACACTTCATGGTGCAAGCAGATATACACAGGCCAAGGTCGGAGAGAGAACCTTTGACGTCAGTATCGCGATATATGACGTCACGCCACCAAGGTAACATCGGCAGCTGATCTTCTGGCTCCGGGATCATGAAATTCTAAAGTCTAAAATTTGCTTAGCACAAAATAATCTTAGGTCTAAAATCATTTGCTAAGCTAAGATTTTAGATAAGACTGGATCATGAAACTCTCTCAGCAAATTCTTAGCTAAGACTAAGACAGCTACTATGACAATTTTAGAATGATGTAATCATGTCCGGTCACTCTTAATTAATTGAGGAGAATAGTTTAATAGCAGGCACCTGCTGAAAATGTTCCAAACAAGTCAACTGAGGCTTTTATCCCTGCCGCGGTGAATTTTACTGTCTTTACGGTTGGGATGTTTTCCGAAATACACCAACATGAACACCTGAGTGCGCTTTCTGCCATATTGCATTGGATAGTGTTTACAAAATCACGTTTCGCGAAGGCCGGAATATTGAGTCGCCTGTTACATCACGTATATTTCATATTCAACTGCGACATATGCATCACTGGATTCCTCATACATTTTAGTATCAAATAAGAAAGGGTCTTTGTCACTAAAACCAAGTGCCTATGTGATATGAAACGAAAGATATTGGGCATGAAAACGAACGCTGTGCTCGAAAGACAGCACTTGTTGAAATGTAAACAAAGAGAAATTGAAACTTTACACTGTGCAGCATTTTCTCAAATTTCAGACACCCAATCGTCTATTCGTAGCATGCATAGGCTCAACTTTTAGAACATACATGGGAATAGTATCGTAGCAAGAAATAGCAAATTAAAAATAGATACAATACAGTAATGTGATCTATGTTTATACGTCAAAGTTTCTGTGCAGCGTGACGCCATGACTGACAAAATCTCGCAGAACAACAACGGTAATATCTGGCTTCTTCTCTTACTTACAATAAAAACGATAAATCATATAACAATACACAGATAGTCAGATTCATTCTGATAACTTACATCACACATTTATGTACAAACGATCCCCGAATCAAGGGAAAGGTCCTCGCAAAATCCTGTGTACCCATGTAAGCGAAGCAGCCATTTTGTAAGAAATCGGTCAACGGTAGTGATGTGGTTAAAGGACTTTTAAAAAGGTCACTTCACATTGTTTAGTTTCGCTCTTAATGAACCCCTGGGTATATATAATATCCACAAAATACAGTTAAAAACGGTAATATTTCATTATACAGCTTGTATTAGGAATCTAAAACGCACCTCCCTCGAAAGCATTTCGCGATTACGCAAGATAATGAGGTAGATGGTCACGTGACGTCATACCCGAGAGTCGCTACATCAACACACGGAAAATACAGTAGTACCGAGACTGTTCGCTTACTGAGGTCTCCTTCTAAATCAAATAGCAAATAAATCAATCACGAAGTCAAACATGGATTTGAATGGCATACTAGATACAGATTATATCACATACATGCAACCTTTTCAATTTGAAAGTATTTCTAGCGGCAAGACCGAGAGGAATATTGAGGACGATTACACCAGTTGACAACATACAGCCGTGGGACGATCCCGATCCCGACTATGTGTTGAATAGACCTACTGCAGACTGGTATGCAAGTTACTTGCCTATCACATGTTCATGGAAAACTGATTAGATACTGAATTAATTTTTCCGCGGTCACGGTAAAATTTACAGTCATGCATGATAACGGCAATGTTCGATCAATGTGTTGAGCCTGTCTTCCGGTATACATCGGTATGGGAAGGTAAACACTGAAATAGTTACGTTCGAGGTTCATGATTTTATGAAGATTATTAAGTAACTTTCAACTTTATTTCATAAAATGCGTCTTCTGCTAAATTTATCCGTAAAGGTTTAAGTATGGTGATAGTTCGATCTCACTACTGTATAGAGAAGTACCCTAAATTCGTTAGTGTATGTTTTCGGAAGAAGTCGGTGTATCGATCGTCTGGTATATCAAACATCAGTTTCATTACATTTTCAATTTCCATACATGTGTTACGCATCGGTATTATGTCGTGATACGTAGTCATATAAATCTGCAAAATATACGTAAAATGTAAAATGATAAAGACCAGTAACCTCCTTAACAGCTGGTAATACATATAATAAATAAATATAGATGCAAAAATAGAACTGACAAATCCTTATCTATCTCTTTAACTGTCAGCTAGTGAAAAAGAAATTCTTCCTTGTGTTCTAGTAGTAATGTGTAAAGTGTGATCAGTCCTAAAGAAAAAGGCCATGGATCAAATCAAGAAACCAGCACACAAAAATTAAAGCAAATAATTTATTTGCATACAAACTATTTATGACAAAATAATGCATACAGTGTGTACACCAACATCATGAAGGCAAAGACTTGCGTGTAAATTAACTGGATGGACTTGTAAAAAACCTAAGAAAACAAGATTGATCTCCAATAACACCATGTGACACAGTGGTGACTGCAATTTGGAAACATTTACCATCTGAACAAGTCCCAGGATTCAAACAGACGAATACAATAGACCTTAAGACATCATGCAGGCACAACTGGTTTCAGTTCACACCCTAGACATATTTACATGATTTCATTATATCTTGATGTCTGTGAATTCACCAGTTCCTGTTTACTAGTTATAAATGAAAGTGTCTGGCAGAATATCCTGGAAAAATAGGCTGTTTGTCCTGCAAGGCTGTAGGAAGGAAACATGTTTCTTCTCTCGAGAATGGCCTACTGGGTAGGAATTCAACAAACTCTGTGAATAAATTTTACATTGAATAAGAGACATTTTGTAACACAATTTCAGTATATTTTGTTTTGGCAACATAATAAAATTTTCTTTGAAATCTGCACTAAAACAGTAAGTACTTTTGTCTTAACAAATGCTGAGAGGGAAAATAGATATGAGGATTAAAAACCAGTGTCTTTGCAAACAAGACTTAGTATTGACTAATTGGTTTGGGAAAAACATGCAGTAATAGGAACAGTGTTTTCTTTTGTTTTTCAAACTGGAGGGCACCAGTTCAACAAAGGTTATTGATTGTCTGAATTATATTTACCATGTACTTTCTTGTTCACTGGCTTGGCCTCTTGGTTTAGGCCTAGAGGTATCTGATTGCCCAGTTGGGTTCTCCAGTCTTGGTCACTTCTAGGGTATTTAGGCTGTTTTCATTGATGTGAAATGCTGCCATGTACATCCTAAAAATAGCATTAAAGTAGCATTTTCACATTTACCAAAATATAGAACCCACAAAGAAATACATTATCTGAATGAACATATTTCCCTGATTTCCCATTTTTTTTTGAAAGTGGGTTAAAGTTACCTATATATACAGCTGACGTGATGTTTTACAGGGGATCCGTAAATACCTAAGTTTTATGCCAGAGCAGAGCTGTCATTTTCATTTGGTTTATTGTACATTTCCTTAAAGAGAAAGAATGAGACTCAACTCACATACCCATTTTAACATGGTAGGGGACCAGTCCCTAGTGGATAATTATCGGATATGACTTATTTTTAATTATGTTTTAGTAATTATGTGCTCTCTTACCACCGCACCCATATGTTGCAAGTTCTCATTTGTCCATGCCCACCCCATCCCTCAACACACACTCACACCACAAAACACCCGTCTCGGTAAATAGATGACTTGGGCCTACTGAGTAACACTAACAGTGGCTGTGAAAATATATCTCTGATCGAAAATAGGACATGAGCGCATATTATGACGTACTTTTTAATCAACTATTGCTTCATGTAGCTTGCTACTGGAGTGTTTATGTTGCTCCAAAACAACTACATCTTAAAACTCACCTGCAACTAACGTCGTGTCCGGAATGCAACTCTCTCGGTCTGTCCCAAGTTGACATTTCGGCCTCTGTGTTTGTTTGGAATGACGAAAGGAATGCCCGATATATAGCATCCTTATAAAGTTTAAGTCGGTATATGGTCTCTGGTGTTTGCCTATTCGTATCCATATTTCGCCACAGGTTAGGTCTCTTTCATTGCACTTCTTCGAAAAGTGTAACGAACACAGATGACCGTGCATACTAGAGGGGTTCACAAAATCCGCACGACGACAGTAAACAATCTTTGTCCTTCCTCTCTTGTCAAATAGAATTTCTCCGTGTACATCCGTGTTGTTTACGCCGTTGGATAATCATCAAAACTCGTAGAGCTGTTTTCAGTTTCAATAGATAATCACAACAACGCTCCATTCAAAATATTGCGCTTATTGTCACTTTCAACTCGATGGCGTATACACTACTAAATTGTCACATCACTGAGCGGACTCTCGGGTATGACGTCACATCCACAGGGAGGCAGACCGCTAAAAATATGCATACGAGCGGGCGTGGCTAAAGTGGTTTTAGTTTTGGTGCATATTTGTAATTTTACGACTATTTTTTCGTAAATGGATGGTGCAGATGTGGTATATATTCATGTTTGAATGGCATTATGTAATAAAAATGCATAGTGTTTAACCTTTTAAAAATCCTTTAACATTGTTGTACATATTTGGCAATTTCTTTGAGGTGAAGGTCGGTTGAATAAGAGCCATGTCCCTCTGACTATACTTTCAGTATTATAATGCATATTTTGTGTATCGCTCAGATATTTTTTTCATGAAACTAATTTCATTGCCTACATTTAGCCTTGTTCTGTATCATATCCGTGGATATAGGGTATAAGTTGCTTTTATTCTTTGAAGGTTTTTGTTTGTTTGAATAATATTTACATAAGAAATTGACATACTGAGTGTAGTACTCAATAGTTTAAACCCTTAAACAAGTATTAGAAGAACAAACGGAGGTCCACCTGCAACATGTACTTTAGTTCCTATCATGTGCAATATTCGCCATTCGGACCAATATTACAGTTGCATATGAACAGGTTCATGAACAACGATTTAATTTAACCTTCTAAGTAAAACTGACAATATTTATGAACATTATTTAGATATTTTATGAAATGTATATGCACACGTTTTTAAAGGAATTGTCTTGTTCATTGAATTTGGTTATTTCGTTAGTAGTGTACCATGTCACCCTAGGGTCTTTTCAAGATGGGGTCACCTCCGGTTCCATGTCCCAAGATGGCGGCACTTCCGGTCGCATGCCCCAAGATGGCGGCACTTCCTGTCCCGTGCCCTAAGATGGCGTCACATCCGGTTCCGGTGGGATCTCGTTGAATACGCATTTCAAAATGGCGGCGGGTGGACGGGAGAGATATCATCGTGCAGTTGTTGTGCTCCCTTCCCGGTGCCTTCACCGCAATATATGCATCAAACCAATTGGAACGATAGGCTTTCAAACAGGTATGACATATTATGTAACGCCATTTTAATGCACATTGCTCTATCTTCCGCAGTTTTTCTGGTAGGGTTTTGGCCTCACTACTTCCACCCCTCTTGCGTCCATGATGATACATCGGGATACTGTCACTTCAAGATTCTTGAGTTTACATAGGCAACAAGGGGATCGAAGACGTCACCTCAGTGACGTGACGCTTCACGGTTCATTGGTTCAATTCATGTGCGTCTCATTGGTCAAAAAGCCTCACGTCTCATTGGTCAAATCGGTCTCAATCTACCCGCCTCATTGGTCCAATTCCCGTGCGTCTCATTGGTGAAATCGGGTCTCAATCCACACACCGCTTTGGTCCAATTCCCGTTCGTCTCATTGGTCAAATCGGTCTCAATCTACACGCCTCATTGGTCCAATTTCCGTGCGTCTCCCCCATGGTTCCTAGTATGGTGATCTACCTTCAGATGCTGGCGATCTATAGCCCGTGTTTCATATTGTATTGTCTTTTTTAATTACACTGTTTCAGTTTCACATGCTAGTTTTATCTTCATATATGTGATACTCTAGTATTTATATATATACTCATTTTTCTTACAATGTAAGTAGAACCCTCAAAATATGTTCAGAAATGTTATGCCAATATGAAGCCTTTGTTTGCCGAGCTAAATAGGCCAGGGTTACCGCCCTTTGGTTATGACGTACTTGGTGCCACTTGATTTTAAACTGGTCTCCTGTCTAATCCCAAATCAAAAGATAATAATACTGAATATTAATCACGTGAAAAAAGTTTGTGAAAATTCGAAGGAAGCATAAGAACAGAAAATGTAAGCAGCAGGACAGATTGATCGTGTGTATTTTCATTCATAACCTCAAATTGTGAAAATACAAAATATGTATAACAATGTTGACGTCCGTATGACATCCTTATCGGGAAGCGACTTTTCGAAATGGCGTGTTCACACGAGTATGCCGGAGTTTTCGAAGAAATTTTCGTTGTTTCAAGCAACGTATATGCATAAATGTGACATGTAAGTAGTCCGAAAATTCTGTCAGTCTGCTGGTTGTTATTTTCTTTTTGTTTTCATTGTGACCAAGGGAAATAGTCAGAAATTAAGAGAGGCACCGTCATCGTTCGTGAGTTGGCGTCAGGCTTTCAGAAACTATAATATGTTGTGATGAATCTAGAAAATCATTGGAATACACCTATTATATTTAACTATCGCCTGCTACGATACCTTTCCCATGCATGTTCTAAAACTAATGAGCAAGTCTTTGCAACAAATAGGCGAACGGATACACAGTGTAAAATCTGAGATTGGCTTTGTTTACATTTCAAACAAGTGGTCCTTTCCCAGCGCGGCATCTTATATATTTCGTTCGATTTCACTGAAACACTTCGAATTGGTGACAAAGTCCATTTGCCAGTTTATTTGAACTGTATGAGGAATTCAGGGATTCGTGTCAGGAAGATGGTGTTGAACTAATTGATTTTATGGGCGAAACATAACCGACATACATGTGACGTGATTTTATAAACACTCTATAATATGGCTGAAAATTCACTTTGACGTTAATTGTGGTTGCGTATTTTCCAAAACATTCTCAGCGATTCTCGGTTCATCGACAATGTTTCAGAACTAGCATTGGTGATTTGATCATACAACAACAAAACTACCGCTGATCACAATGATACGTCTTTTTCTTTAAAATTCAATTCTCCCAGTAAAATTTGACATTTGAATTAAGAAAACGCAGTGAATGGTGATTTAGTAATGTGTCAAAACTGGCGAGATTTATGATGCATGTAATTTTCAGTATATTTGATCTACAATGAGCGGATGATATAGAAAATCGAATTTCAAACCGAGTTCAAAACTGCAAATTGCACTTATCTTCGTGATTATTTGGATATGGTATCGATATCTGTACTGGCATTCTACTTCTTATGTTATGGACAACTTTAATGGAATGAGTTATGTAATAAGGAACACCCCTCTAACTTCAAAAAATAGATTCGTCTGGTTTGACCTTCGTTCTGATGTCATTGGCGCGTGCCATTTTCGAAACGTGGCTGTCCTTGATGCGTGTCAGTGCTTTGCTTAGTTCCTAATTTTGAAAAGACCAGACATCAAAAACGAAGAAGCAGTGATTGTGAGATTCGACTTACATGTTGGAACCAGGCTGGGTCAATATTTTCCTCCATCCCCGATCCAAACACATCAAAGAAATCGCCGAGGTCAAACGTAACAGTTTCAGACGACATGTTGGTTTACCTTTGTAAGGGTTAATGAGTGCAAAATAGGGTATAAAACTACATGATAAACACTTTTTATGATGAAAGAGCGCAAGACAAAAAGGTTAATTTTCGTGTACACTTGCCCTTTAAAAAACGTCACGCCCACACTTCCCTCCTCCAAGAGCAAATCCCTCATCTGGCCCCGGGATCATGTAAGTGACTTTAGTCTAAAAATTGCTTAAATCTGTCATTTTGATCTTAAGTCCAAAAATTTGTCTTAAATCGGAGATCACGTACATTTTTTAGTCTTCAAGGTTAAAACTGAGATCATTTTTTGTCTTAAATCCTGAGACTGCTACATACCAGACTTAACCCCTTTTTGATGCCGAGGTTTTTTTCAGGCGCACATTTTCATAAAGTTTGAAAAGTGAACGTTGTGCAAGATTTGCGCTCGCATGGTCCTGGATCTGCGTTCGCCGGATCGATTGGCGGCTTCACATTTCTGGGTGTCTGTGTAGAATTTCATTTGTTCAACAACTTCCACACTTAGCTTCATTTTGAGAATTTCATGAACTAAGTGTTTATCATTGTCATCCATGTTGAAATGTGTAATATTGTTGCAGCCGAGGAACATGGAGCGCTGCCACCAGCTGTTCGTTACACACAACTGAGTACCGGGCACACCTGGAGCAGTCGCCGCTGTAGCACTTCAGGGTTGCTTCGAGCACTCGAGGTAACATACTACGAAGTGTTTTCATGTCGCCAGCATGATCCTTCAACAGTTCTTTTAGTATCAGGCTGCACCGTGCTTTCACATCCTGACTCAGCACCCTCCATTTTATGTGTACGTGCAGTGCCAGGGAACATCTCTGGGTTAAAATCAGCTCTGTAACATTGTCGGAACTGTCCTTGAGCCAAGTGGGTGGGGTCAGCTAGTCTTTGCACCTTCCACATTGGGTCCAACACTTTCAGAGCTTTGTCTAGTCTATCTGCACACTTAGAATCCCCATCGGTAGTTGCATAACTTTATAAGCACACTCTGTAGTGCGAGCTGATTTCCAATGTCTTGTCCCATGTTGAACTCAGACAATGGAGTGAAAGCCGACATGTTTG